ATACAACCAGGGGTCATTTCCTGCAGAAGCGGAGCTCCGGCAGTAAAGAGCCCAGGGGGCGGGCACATGCAACAAGCCCCACCCCCTGCTCCCAGCAGCCCTTAGTCAGGCCACGAGGTGCAAGAAGCAGCCAGGTAAGTTGCAGAGCCCTCCCCCCCCCCGTCCAAAACAGTCCAGTGGCACCTTTAAGACCAAGTTTTATTCAGGTACAAGCTCTCCCTCCTCTGTGAGGGCAGATCTCCACGCCCCCCCCCCCAATAGCTAGCAATCCAAAACAGTCCAGTGGAGCCTGAGCGGTGGGTGTTGCCTTCTGACACCTTCCGGTGATGTCAGGGGGTGTGGCATATGCAAATGAGTTATGCTAATGAGCTCCTGCACCTCTTTTTCTGCGAAATGACCCCTGGATACAACCATGATATGATTAATACATTTGGTGTAAACAGACTTATAAATGGTTCATAAGTTGCATTAGCATCGTTATAATTGCATACAAAATATACAGTGCCTGTGCCAAGTGTCTTGAAAGACTTCCCAAGGTTTTAAATTTCAAAGCCCTGTTCCATAATCATAAGAACATAAGAGACACCAATGTTGGATCAGGCCAAAGGCCCATCCAATCCAACACTCTGTATCACACACTGGCCAGAAATACCAGGTGCCATCAGGAGGTCCACCAGTGGGGCCATATTCATGTCCATATGGAATCATATGGAAATATGGATTCATGTCCATATTTCTCTTGCGCACTGCATTCCCTACGGCTCCACCAACGGAACAGCCATGACTCCCGTTTTATAGAGAGCCAGTTGGGTGTAGCGGTGAAGTGTGTGGCCTCTGGGAGAACCGGGTTTGATTCCCCAATTCTCCACATGCAGCTGCTGGCGTGACCTTGGGTCAGTCACAAGTTCTGTCAGAGCTGTTCTCTCAAGGGCAGTTCTCGAGAGAGAGCTCTCTCAGCCCCACCTGCCTCACAGGGTGTCCGTTGTGGGGAGGAGAAGGGAAAAGAAAAGGAGATTGTAAGCCGCTCAGAGACTCCTTCGGGTAGTGAACGCCGGAGTATAAATCCAATCTCTTCTTCTTCTTTCTCAAGGCAGATCCCGCATAGCTGAAACATGGTCCCATTACTTTAATTAAAAACAGAACTACATCAAACCTCACCTGCAGCCATTTTTTTTGGTTGGTCATACTTACTCTCAATTTTGTACCCAAATTCTCAAGACATTTGTTGTCTCTTGGTTCAGTGAAGCTTCTCAGAGCTATCTCCCCCTCAGCATTCTTCACGGCCTCAGGGGTTGGCAGTCAGGGGGCGACCCCTCCTGAGATGGATTTCTTTCCCTTCGGTTTCTCCTCGTTCAAAATGTGCTTCCCGGAACAGTGACTTACTGACTCATTAAGATAGATAGTGTGGTGCAGTAGTCAAAGTGTCGGATTAGGCTCTGGGAAATCCAGGTTCGAATTGCCACTCGTGCCATGGAAACTCGCTGGGTGACCCTGGGCTAGTCACACACTCTCAGCCTAACCTACCTCACAGGGTTGTTGTGAGGATAAAACAGAGGAGAGGAGAATGATGTAGGCCTCTTAGGGTGATAGAATGTTAGAGTTGGAAGGGACCTTGCAGGTCATCTAGTCCAACCCCCCGCACTCTGCAGGAGCATAGCCAAAAGATAGCCCTACATACCTACAACATACCCGGAAGATGGTCATCCAGCCTCCGCTTGAAAACATCCACTGAAGGAGCATCCACCACCTCCCGAGGCAGACTGTTCCACTGCTCAACCACTCTTACCATTAGAAAGTTTATCCTGATATTTAGCTGGTAATGACTCCCTTGTAATTTCCACCCATTAGACCTAGTCTTGCAATCCGGAGCAAGAGAGAATAGATCCGCTCCACCTTCTACATGACAGCCCTTCAAATACTTGAAGACTGCAATCATGTCCCCTCTCAGCCTTCTCTTTCCCAGGCTAAACATCCCCAACTCTTTCAGCCTTTCCTCGTAAGACTTGGATTCCAACCCTCTCACCATCCTGGTTGCCCTCTTCTGGACACACTCGAGCTTGTCAACATCCTTCCTAAAATGTGGTGCCGCAAAACAGGACTCCAGGTGTCCATTGGGGAGTGAAGCGTGGGATATAAATAAATAAATACTGTTAAAAATGCATAGGTTTTATGAAAAAATTGGTGGTAGAATATAGGAAATAGCACAAAACCAAAGACCCACAGGTTTGATTTGTACAAGAAACGAAATCAAACATACCAACGTTGGTGGCTTCTAATGTTTGCTTCCAATCCAAGGTATTAGGGCCTGAGAGGATTTGCACTGCTTTGGTTTGGATCAGAAGTGATAACGAGTCTTCCATCTACAGATAAAAATTACAATGTCTTTCCTCTCTGGCAGAACGGTTTTATAGACTGCAATCAGAGCCATCCCATCCATACAAACGGGATGTAAGGAGTAAAGCGGTGAGGGGCCCAGGTTCGAATCCCCACACATGCCATGGAAGCTTGCTGGGTGACCTTGGGCTATTCACACGCTCACAGTCTAACCTACCTCACAGGGTCACTGTGGGGATAAAACGTAGGAGAGGAGGACAATGTTAAATGCTTTGGGTCTCTTGCAGGGAAAGCTGGGATATGAATAAAGTTATTTGGCTAGATAATTAATAAGGTTTGGTATTTTCCTGTTTCCTAAAGGGAATCTATACCCAGAAGAGAGCAGACCCCAAAAAAGTCAAGGAGGAGGTGGTGGATTTCGCTCGCTTCAAGTGGCCTTTGCTGTTCTCCAGATTCTACGAAGCGTTCAAGTTCTCAGGTAATCCTAGAAAAGATGCCTTGCTAGGGGCTGGGGCAAGTTACAGGTGAAGGCAGTCTGTTAAGCCCTGCCCAGCCAGGCCTGCAGAGAAAATCCTGTCGGATTGCAGGACTTCATAAGGACAGACAGCTCACCTGATGTACACAGGGCAGGGCTGATCTGATGACCAATAACACCATGACTGATTTCAAACAAGAGCTGCGCCGTGGTTGCGCCTCCCTTTGCCCCGCTTCTATTGGTCAATTTCCCACTCGAAGCCGCACGGCCGCATTTTGACCCACCCGATTTCCCCCCGCGGTTTCGTCATCCTGGTTTTTGAGGATTGAGTGGACGCGGGGGAAATCGGGCGGAGCTGCGGGGCAAAATGCGGCCGAGCAGCACACAGTGTGAAATTGACACGTACGATCGGGGCAAAGGGAAGAGCGAGCGCGGAGCTGCAGCTTGTGGGAAATCGGTCACAGAGAACTGATCTCTGTAGACTGGAGACGAGCCATAATTCTGGGAGATCCCCAGGTCCCACCTGGAGGCTGGCATCCCTAGACTTCACCTAAACAGGCTTTCAGAGGATAGTCACATTGGTCTGTGGCAATGCTCCTTCTAAGCTGTGTCTTGTGAGCAAAAATTCTACTCTGTGAGCTGCTGGCATTAAAGTTGTGAGCGAGCGATTTGGCTGCTGCATAAATGAGTTTTGCTCTGGAGCCCCATCCTTCCTGAGCTAAGACGAAAATGTGTGAGCTGGAGGCTAAAAAACTGAGCTAGCTCACACTCACTCAGCTCGGAGGGAACACTGGTCTGCAGCTAGACTCAAGTCCAGTCCAGTAGCACCTCAGAGACCAACAAGATTTTGAGGGTATAAGATTTCAAGAGTCAAAGCTCCCTTCGTCAGATACCAAACACAGTCTGATGAAGTCGGCTTTGACTCTCAGAGACTCATACCCCCAAAGTCTTATTGGTGTAAGGTGTTACAGGACATGAATCTAGCTGTTCCACCTTGGGCCATGGCTCAGTGGTAGAGCCTCTGCTCGTCATGCAGAAGGTCCCAGGTTCAAGCCCCGGCATCTCCAGTTATAATGATTAGGCAGTAGGTGATGAGAAAGACCTCTGCCTGAGACCTTGGAGAACCACAGAGAGGGATTATGGCTCAGTGGTAGAGCACCTGCTTGGCACGCAGAAGGTCCCAGGTTCAATCCCCGGCATCTCCAGTTAAAAGGACCAGGCAGTAGGTGATGAGAAAGACCTCCAGCAGAGACTCTGGAGAGCCACTCCCAGTCTTAGACAATACCGACTTTGTTAGACTGATGTTCTGATTCAGTATAAGGCAGCTTCATGTGTGTTGACCTTAAGAGGGCTGTAATTATTACACATATATGTATATATTAACGGTATATGTGCTTCCTCAATCTGTCCTTGGGAAATAAATCATCACAAAGTAATCATGGCAAGGATTCAAGGAAACAAATCCTATAACCACAGCCGGACTCCTTTGTTGTTTTTGGCATAACACTTCCCACCTGCCAAAGAGGCAAGCCATTCTTCTTTGCAAAGAGCGGCTTGTCTCTTCCGCAGTAGGAAAAGCTGCATCCGAAACAGCAATGAAGCTCAGGTCACACGTGTTATTCTCTTCCATAGTCCTTTGGAATGGCAAACCGGAATGGTTGCGGAAGGCGCCTTTACTTGCTGCGTTTAGGAAGGCATGTAAGACGGTTTTATTCCAGAGAGCGTTTGGCGGAGGGTAAACCGTTTTTGGCAGATTTGGCTGCGTTCTGTGGGGGTTTTTTTGTTTTAATTTGGAGCATCTTAAATTCCGTGTGTTTAGATATGATTTTAAGTTACGTGTGTTCTGTAGTTCTTTGCTCTTCTGAACTTGTAAACGGTGCAATTTTTTTTTTAATTGTGTGTTTAAATCTGGACATTTTCTGATCTCGTTAACTCAATTGTTACCTTTTGTGTCCTCACGACTGGCTATCACGTTGTTCACTGCTTTGAGTGTGAGGAGATAAGGTGGTATAGCCCATGTTTTAAATAAAAATATTTTTGGGGGGTTAATTACATCTCCTCTACATCCCAGGGCCCAGCCTCCCCAAAAACGATGTGATCGTAGCTGTGAACTGGACAGGAGTATACTTTGTAGATGAGCAGGAACAGGTCCTTCTGGAACTTTCCTTCCCGGAGATTACAGCCGTCTCTAGCAGTAGGTAAGGAAGTAATGTGTCATTTGATCAGGAAGTCCATTTTGAAGGGTGTGTTAAATAGAGCCAGTTTGGTGTAGTGGTTAAGAGCGCGGACTCTAATCTGGGAGAACTGGGTTTGATTCCCCACTCCTCCACTTGTGGCTGCTGGTGTGACTCTGAGTCAGTCACAAGTTCTCTCAGAGCTGTTCTCTCACGAGCAGTTCTCGAAAGAGCTCTCTCAGCCCCACCTACCTCACAAGGGCGTCTGTTGTGGGGAGAGGAAGGTAAGGTGATTATAAGCCACTCTGAAACTCCTTTGGGTAGTGAAGGGCAGGGTATATAAATCCAATCTCTGCTTCTGTTCTTCTTCTTCTTTGACCCTTGTTCTAGAGGGGGTAAACTTCAGGGGCAGAGCTTCACCATGGCAACCATCAAAGCAGACGAGTACACGTTCACCTCCAACAATGCTGAGGACATCCGAGACCTTGTGGTGACTTTCCTGGAAGGCCTCAGGAAAAGATCAAAATATGTGGTCACTCTCCAAGACAACCCAATTCCTGGTAAGAAAACTGAGCTGACTAGGTTTTTTAAAAAAAATCTCTAGTGGCCAACCATTTGACCCTGGAAGGGACTAAACATGACACAGAGGCCAAAACTACCCTCTGTTGTTGCAACTCAAAGGTACACTGCCTCTGAACGTAGAGGTTCCATCTAGTCAACTTGACTAATAGCCACTGATAGCTAATAGCCATTGATGGAACTTTTCCCTTGGGAGGTGTTGGGCTCTCCTTCTTTGGAGGTTTTCAAGCGGAGGCTAGGTGGCCATCTGACAGGAATGCTGATTCCGTGACCGGAGGCAGATCACGAGAGGGAGGGCAGGAAGGGTTTCCCCAGTGCTTAGTTCTCAGGGCCCTTTCTTACACTCCCAGGGGAATGCTACTTTGGGGTCAGGAAGGCATTTTCTCCAGGCCAGTTTGGCCAGAGATCCTGGAGGGTTTTTTTGCCATCTTCTGGGCATTGAGCAGGAGTCACCGGGGGCGTGGGGGGAGGTCTTTGTGAATTTCCTGCCTTGTGCAGGGGGTTGGACTAGATGACCCTGGAGGTCCCTTCCATGATTCTATTCTATGAATTTGGATGACAAAAAGTCAGAGCTGAGCTTTCCTTGAAAAAGGTATATGAGAAAATAAGGCAGGGTGCGAGACTGCAGCCCAGTGGCAGAGCGCGTGTTCTTGGTATGCAGAAGGTCCCAAGTTCAATCCCCGGCATCTCCAGGCAGCCCATGTATGTAAGAAGCTGCGGTAACCACAAGTTATATTGTAATTTTTAAGTTGTAATATTTGAAAATTGTTAATTAATGTATGAATTATGTATGAATTATGTAAGAAGCTACGGTAAAAAGTACAATTTCTAAGTTGTAATATTTGAAAATTGTTAATTAATGTATGAATTATGTAAGAAAGCTACGGTAATCACAGGTTATATTGTAATTTTTACGTTGTAATATTTGAAAATTGTTAATTAAAAAAAAATAGCTGGTCCAAGGTGAACTTCGTGGCCCAGGTGGCAACTTGGAGCCGGGGTCTCTCCAGCCAAGTCCAACACTCTAATCACGACACCTTTCTGGCTGTTGAACAGCCAGAAGGGTGTACTGAGTTGCCACCTGGGCCACGAAGTTCCCCTTGAACCAGCCGTGTCCTCTTTCAGCCTCACTTCGGTTTTGTGGGGGGGGAAATAACGGGGTGGTCCCTCCATCCATGTCACTGTCCTTTCTGTCGCAGTGAGCGAGGATTCTGGCTTCCTCGGCTTCCTCAAAGGAGACCTGATTGTCCTGGACCAGGACACGGGAGAGAACGTGATGAACTCTGGCTGGGCCAACGGCGTCAACGAGAGGACCAAGCAGAAAGGCGACTTCCCGACAGATGCTGTCTACGTCCTCCCCACTGTCACAACGCCTCCTCCAGAGATCGTGGTAAGCAGGGCGGAGAGGGTGCTGTCAGTTACTCGTGGGAAGGGCCTCCGGTTCCCTTGAGCCTTTTCCCATGAGCGGTGATGCGGCATAGTCTCTAAGGGTGATTTCCCACAAGCGCTGCTCCGCGCTCACTCCTCCCTTCTGCCCCGACGGTACGTGTCAATTTCACACAAGCTGCTGCGCGGCTGCATGGTGCCCCGCAGCGCGGGGGAATTTCCCCCCAGATGTACGGCAAAATGCGGTCGCGCA